GCAGAAAACCTTACTTTTATCATTAGCATGGTAGGGTCGATGTTTGGTTATTGCCCTACATACTCACCTTACTAACAAGTCAGGAGCATACCAAGGTGACTCACGACATCTTTTCTATGATCGCAATACATTCAGCATTACTGCTGCCACAGGCGCCACAAGCCAAGTTTGAATATGTGCGAGATGCTATACGAACATACAACAAAGACTTGCACCGTAAAACACTTATACCAGGAATTTCTTTTCCGGCGCGTTACGCGTCACGCACTTCCGGAATGTCGTCTTCCCTCGTGTTGACAGATTGAAAACATATGCAAACTTAACTTCGATTCTGCCTTGATGCAGAATTTAGTTAGAGGTACTGTGACCCCGTCTAGCATTTAAATTCAGGTAAGTAAATAACTTTTCTGATTTTAAGGTTTCAATGCGATTAAAACTTTTGCAAGCGAGTATTTCGACAATAATCCCCTCTACTAACTGTGATTTGAACTGCGTATTCGTCTCTTCATTATGGTTTATCGCAAAAATCAGTTGAAAGGAATCATGTTAAACCGCACAGAAACGTCGAAATATAATCTGAAACCGTTACAACTCTGACTAGGGTTTAAATGTCGAAGTAACTTACGTTTGCGAAGGATTAATATTCCAAGCGTCGAAACTTGCTTGTTGCACGCGCTTTCCTGGTGTCAAAATACCCTTCAGGTTTTGGTCTCTCGACGGTGCGCATTTGGAATGCCGCCAGAAATATTTTAACGCAAACAACAGCAAAGGATATGCTTCAATACAGTTCTTGTTTCATATTAAAATTTTGGGTACCAACTGGGTTTTTACGATGGTGAAGTTAGGTCAAATTTGTCATTTTTGAAAAGTGCTGAAACCGTGTTTCTTCTTGCGGCCGGTACAGTCACATTTAAACGGTTTATTTAAAGTTAACTGCTGAATTATAAAGTAAAAATGTGTGTCTCTTTTGTGACGTGATTTCATCTAGAGATAGTATTCCGTTTTTATGTGCGAGCGCGAAGAAAATGCTCAATTTTCGCTAATTTCATACTCGAAAGAGCGCCTATTTAGAGTTTTTCAAACTTTGCCTGATTCCTGAAAAAATAAAAAGCTGTTACAAGTTTTAACGTGATTTTTGAAATTAGGGTACTATAGAGATTATTTGGGCAATATATGAAGAAATTCAAAAATTCACGACTGTCAACCGATTCTCGAAAATTACAGACATTGACTCTTAATAAATTAATAACCAACGATTGAACGCGAGACGATAATAACAACCGGCGCGTAACCACATAAAGCATTGTGAAATCAACAACGGTTAAGGTATCTGCACCGGCAAATTTGCACATTTTTGCATCATTTTCAATAGTGATTTTATGGATAATATCTACATATCACTACATTGACAGTATTCCACAGTTCTTGAGGAACTAAAATATATCAAAATAAACTATGCTACGTCACACGTTGGCTTGAACATAGTTTTCGTATCGTAAAACAACTTCCATTTCACTTCGCACCACAGCAGATTCACGAATAAAACTAAAAAGGTAAAATTTCATCTCTTATTTAATTTCCATTTGCAGTTTACAAATAAGAGCGTGGGTTCCCAAGGTTCGCACGGCAGACATTGGCCTCGCTTCGCTTGTTTACTTGCTCGTTTACGTTAGCACGTATTGCGTACCTATTGCACTTTTGCGTCAAAACAAGCCGTCTCGATTATTCTATTTGGGCCACGCCCAAATTATAAGAGACTGCTCGCAGTCATATAGGGTTTAGTGGATAATACGGGGCCGGGATGCAGGGGCGACGAGCCGACGGGGTCTGTGGAAAACACGGGATCCCGGGGTATGTTGGGTTTTGCGAAAAGTAAATAAACAACAACACTAATCGGTTTCCTTTATGTAGACTATACAAACTGCGGACAGAGCAAAAAATACAGACTGCAGACTGAGGTGAGGGTAGAACGAATGCAAGGTGTAGAATGAAGACTAGGAGGTAAAATGCAGATCTGTCAAACGTAAACTGTACTCGAGGAGGGGTTAAGGCCAAAACCTTGCAATTAAGAACACTTTCTGGTCATCTGTTTTTAGTCATCTTTTCACTCTAATTACTTCTCTTACTTTCAATGTTTACGATTTGGAAAAATAACAGTCATCCTGACGTTTTGGAGAGACATCCTAAGCTGGAACCTGTCATCTGTCAGGGCCGCCTTGCAAACTAACTTCGCGCACTCGAAGAGAAGCAGCGACAAGTCAATCTTTGTTGCATCAAAGACAGTTTCTCTAGACTTCTCAATCCGTCATAACAATAAGGCAGTCAAGAACCGCTAGATCGTGAACGTAAATAGAGTAAACGTTATGTCAATTTTATAAATTTCGCCGAGAATGTGAGTGACTGATTGGAAAACGAATGTGTAACATATAAGTAGCCTAATTTTACTCAAAACACACAGGGTGCCTTGGACTGGGAAATCTGGATTTCGGATTTGCAATCGAACGTGTAGTCCGAGAACGGATTTCAACGCAGAGATATCATCTCTGTATTTGGATTTGGATTTTTACCGTTCGATTGAGAAACCCGCAAAAGGATTTGAAAACTGTCCTTAAGAACAGCGGTCTTGCACGCGCACGCATAATTAGCTAAAAAGAGACGGCTGTTCAGGCGAACAGTTTTGCAAATCCTTTCTCGGATTTCCCAATCGAACGGTAAAAAGGAAATCCATGAAATCCGATGATGCGATGTCACGTGCCCAAGCCCCCTTTTGGAATTGTAATGGTATGAAGTTGTGCAACAGAAAATTTCCCAGTGCGGTTCAGTTTGAAAATAATTTTTTGCGATGATTTTCAAGCTGATGGTTAATTTTAAGCCTGGTGATACATGAGAAACGATTGTTTTTAATTAGTGACACAGGCGGCTCGGAAGAAAAAGTCCGAGTCGAACCGGTTACTAGTTTTCTCAAAATAATTCTTGTGCACCAAAAGCGAAAATACCAGTCCGATTCGATCCGATCCGCAGTCCGATCCGATCCAGATTTTGTTGAAGGCCTTCCTTTACCGAAAAATCTTTTTACGACTGATGTTCCGTTTTCCCGAAAATATTTGGCTTCACCACTGATCCAAAACTCCCCTTTCCAATCTATTCTTTATTCTCCAATTCTCCCCACCAGAAGCTCGGAGTACAGAGTACAGCTCGGAGGACTTAACGCGGAACACGTCTTAAAATCGATTTAGTTGACATTGCGTATAACAGACATTATAATAAGGAATGCCTTCCTATAGGGGGCAAAAAATCGCTTCCCGCATTAAAGAAAAGATTGAATTGGAGTTAAATATAAAGCTCGTTACCGCGAGAACAAGTTTATTATGTACAGTAAAAACGTGGAGGCTACACAGAATATACCAACTATCAACATACCGTACGAACCCCACGGGGTTATGTTAGCTTGTAATGTCCAATGTGGCAAAAACCTCAAAAAAGGTGTCAGACTATTGAGTAAAGCTTAATTACACTGAGAAGCACTCGAAAGAGGATGGCAAAAAGTCAGGGCGAGGTGTAATAGAATGCTGGTTTAGTCAAAAGCCTAGAGGAATAAAAAAAAATTAAAAGTGTAGAGACTACAAAGATGGCTAGCCGAGGAGAACGGAGATGTGGAGGGAAGAAAAAAAACCTTCTCAAGAGGGACCGGGGAAAATGTAGCCCGTGAACAGGCCTTTGGTCGAGAGAGCCTGTTCACAGGCTAAGGAAAATGTGGAGTTAGGGTTGGGGGGTCTCTCTTGAGGAGGTCTGGTGGCCACCAGTTTTGTTATTTTTTAATTTGGTTATTACACTATGACTCATTTTGTCGGGAAAATCCCTGCTGTGTGACATCATTGACTTCCTGCTGTGAGGGAAAGTCCCTGCTATAATTACCAACTTCCTGTTATACGCTAGTGATTATGTATATTTAAAACTCAATCAGTGGCCAATAAAAAGGCCCAAGGTTCATAGTAGTATAGTAGTTGGGGAAAATGGACGAAGTCGAAGAAGGCGTCCATTTCTACCCTCAACTACTATACTACTGGTGTTATCGCCCGGTGTGTAAAAATAGAATGAACGGTTGTTTAACTGACAGCAGGATCGTTGCCAACGCTTTGTCTTTTCAAGCAAGAATCTTCGGAAAGTTTTCTTTTACATCAGAAGCACGCTCAGTATAACTAACTTCCCCAAACCAAAAACGTTGAACCTTCCAAGTCAGATCATTCGACCAAAATGAAGAACAGCTATGGTTTCTCGATTTGGATGCGACGTCATCTTGAAAATATCTCCAGGCCAGGCAGCACAGCAAAATGCAGATATGGCGGCAGGCACTCAGGCACGCAGTTGATTCCCGGTCTCTATTGCAGCTCGGGGACTAGCTTAGTGGCAATAATCTGGGCCTGTTTCGGTTCGACTTAACTTGAACTTTATTTGCGAGCAAAACTCAAGAGAACTTTGTGACAGATCGTTTAGCAACGAAAGTGAGAAAACTGGCCAAATTCGATCGCTTATATAATACGAAGACCTTTTCAAGATAAACCGGTTTGTCCTGTTTAAAGCGTGCCATAGAAAGTTCTTGAAACATTTTTAATATGCTAATTATCTCCTTGAAATAAACAGTCATCACAAATACAACTTGAACAAAAAATATGTCTAAGTTCCATCAAGACTGCTTCTCCCTATACGGCATTTTCTAAAGTGGTACCGACCAAGGGCTAGATTTGCTTAGGATTTGATCCTCAGACTGAGAAATAAGAACTTCTTCCAATTCCTTTTCGGTCAAATCATGGTTCTACCTCGTTGAGCCTATTGTTTTCAGTCTATCTAAAAACCTGATATACTTGGGCTTGATCGTGACCATTGCCTCAATTGTACTTGCAAATATCTCTTAGTTGAAAATTTGCATGGCGAGCGGTAGGAAATGGAACCAAATTTTCTTATCTCGTATTTCTTCAAACACTTGAGTGATGTTTTGAATAATGGCTGATAATACCAATGAAGAATCAAGAGTATCAAACTTGTCGACTCGTTCAAGAGGAAAAGCTTGCGTTGCAGTTTTTGTAATAGCCTGGATGTGTATTGTAGTGCTTTCAGTTTCGCTTGCTTTTATGAAAGTTAGCCAATCAACTATCGAATTGGTTGGAGGTGGAGGTGCCTTCATCTTAATTTTTGTTGTCATTGGAGCTGCAGTAATAGCTTGCAACAAAAGACACAGGCCTGAAAGCAACTCAGTAGACGTAGCTGTCTCCGAGATTCCCATGGAAGATTTGGAAAAATCTCCAGTCCCAATCCTTCCGTACAATCATATTCCTCATCGTCCGGTATGTGCTGAAGCTTGTTCTACAGATTTGCCTGACTACTTTAGCGCGATTTCAAATGTTCCGAAAGTTTCTCCACACTTAGGACAGCGAGGATTTTGGACGGAAGACATTGATAACTCGGACAATGAAAAGGACCCGCCACCATGTTATGAGCAAGCTCTAAGAATGTATGGATTGATATCAATCGAGCCCGCTGACCTTGAAGATCAGCATCAACAAGTAAATAGTGAAGACACAAGACTATAGTATCATAGCCCCGGATTATTAAGACTTCAGGGCAGTAAAGCTTGTTTTGACTTGGGTTGATTATTTGAATCATCGAAGTTGGATTTTCATGGACTTTCATGGGTGCAAATATAATTCAGTTTTTAGAAATTATATCTCTTGACAGTCTTGCATGTATTGAGAATACGGACTAAGCGAAAACCTCTACTTTCACACCACTGTCAAATGTCTGGGGCGTTTGCGTTGACTTGGGTTTATTCTTTTGAGTCAGGAGACTGAAGTTCGATTTTCATGTGTGCATATATAAAACAGTGTTTATATATTATATTTCTTAACAGTCGTGTATGTATTGAGCTTCGTCCAGGGTTTGAGCACACAGGACTATAGTGAAAACCTCTACTTCCACCACTGTCAATGATGTTGACATGGGTTGATTGTTTGAGTCAGCAGATTAAAGTTGGATTAGGGTGCAAGTAGAAAACAGTATTTAGACATTATATCTCTTGACAGTCTTACATGTATTGAGACATAAGTAAAAACCTCTACTTCCACCACGGTCAAACGCTGTCCGAGGAGTTTCATGTTCATATATGTGATTTCATGTAGATCATTTGCCACTCGGTGGAAACATGGGCAAAAATGTATAGAACAGGTAGTTAAAGATTTTTCCCTCGGTGCATTTTCTGAAAATAATGAGCTTCTTTTCGTGGTAAATGCTATACACCCGAGTACAATTGGTTCTGGCAAATAGCGCCGACGGTGAGCAACACCATTTGTGGGGTCTTCTATGGGCACCCCCGTGGTAATTTGGATAACTTCCTAAATCACCTTAACATGATAGTTGATAAGATTCACCGTGAAAAGACATATTGTGTTTTGTTAGGAAATTTCAACTTAGATCTCCTCAAATTTGAATCACATCCTAGTACAGAACATTTCCTAAATACTTTGGGCTCATATTACTTTCAACCTCAAATTCTGCAGCCAACAAGAATAACAGATTACTGAGTAAACCTCATCGACAATATTTTCTTTAATTCTCTTGAACACTTTTCCATCATTGGAAATTTATGTTATGACTTATCTGACCATCTACCAAAATTTTCTTTTCGTAAGTAAACTTTCCTCTCTACCAGCAAACATCAAGGTTTTTCAGCGCGATTATTCAAACTTTGATAAGCAAGCCCTAGTTACTGACATTCAATCAATAAACTGGGATGTCTTACTTCGAGATGTTTATGAACCAAGTAGTATGTTTGATGGTTTAAATAATAAAATATCTGAGGTTATTGATACACATATACCTATCAAGCAATTATCGCGACAAGAATTAAAAAGTAGATCCAAACCATGGGTAACCTCTGGAATCAGGACCTCTATTAGAGTAGAGAATGGTTTATTTAAGAAATTCTTAAAGGCTAAATCTACCTACTACCATGCTAGAGTTAAATTTTACAGGAACAAATTGAATCATTTAACTAATTTAAGTAATTGAAGTTATTACAATAATTTCTTTTCAATTCACGTAAATAATGGCAAACGAATCTGGCAAGGAATTAAAGAAATTGTTCAAATCAACCCACAGGTAAATCAATCGATATGCAAAATAGTCTTGGAAAATTGTGAAATAACTGATCCCAAAGCAAAGCTGATGCGTTCGATAATTATTTTGCCAACATAGGTGGTAATCTTGCAAGTTCCATTCCTGGTGCTTCAAAAACTGCTAATGAGTTTATGCCACCTCCCATGTGTGATAGTTTGTTTCTGTGCCCAGTCACTGCAGGTGAAATTCAATTCGAAATAGCTAAACTTCAAACTGGTAAAGCTGTGGGGCCTTCTAGTATTCCTATTTCAATTCTAAAAATCCTTAAGTCTGAATTAGCAAGTCCCTTACAGGTAATATTTAATACATCTTTTCTTAATGGAATTGTCCCAGATAAATTCAAGTTGGCTAGAGTAATACCAGTCTTTAAGAAAGGCTCTCAGACAAACCTTACTGGCCTATTTCTCTTTTAATAGTATTTAATAAGTTGCCAGAAAAACTCAAGTTCAATCGGTTAGCAGACTTCTTAGAAAAAAGACACCTAATCTATAACAAGCAATTTGGTTTCCGTTCACACCATTCAACTGATCATGCAGTACTCAGTATTATCGATCAGGTGCAAAAAGCTATTGAAGATCGCGATTACCCTTGTGGAATATTCCTAGATTTCAGCAAAGCATTTGATACTGTTAACCACAACAATTTACTTTCAAAGCTTGAATTCTATGGTATCAGAGGTGTTTTTAAAGACTTGTTTACCTCATATCTGAGAAACAGAATGCAAATGATGTCACTTGCCTCTGTAAATTCTGATATACAAACTGTCTGCTGTGGGGTACCACAAGGATCAGTACTTGGGCCTCTCCTTTTCTTAATTTGTATCAATGACTTTCACAATTGCTTAGAACTACTGGATTTTCACCTTTTTGCAGATGATGCAAGTTTATTCTTTAAGCATAAGGACATTAACATTCTTGAAAGTGAAATTAACAGTGAACTTGCTAATGTACATAACTGGTTATCTGCAAATCAGCTTTCACTGAATATTGAAAAGTCAAATTTGTCATTTTTCATCCAGTGCAAAAAGGAATTCCCAAAAAGGTTATATCATTTATCATTTATAAATAATCAATCATTAACTGAAGAAAATTGCATTAGATACCTTGCAGTTCATGTAGACTCAAATATTAGTTGGAAGAGCCACATTAACTATATTGCCTTACAAGAGTTTGATTCACTGGGTTAATTTTGGCCAATTTAAGCTTTCTACTAATATCGAGTAGAATCATGAATATGTTACAAAAACGATTCATGATCCACACTGAGTTTACATGAGTTTTTGCGCTTCAATTTAGTCATTAGTCGATGATAGGATTCAAATAATGACTTGACTTTGGTAACCAATTATAGTCTAGTCTGTCATTGCTTGCAAGACAATCTATGTTAATGTTAACAGAATTGCCAGAAATGTTTACAGTGTTTGAGCGATTTTTCCAGCTTGAATAAAGTGAAAGTTATACTTGTAACGTACATGGTGATGCCAGAATTGAGGGGTATCACTACTGTTTGCCACTTGAAAGACCCTTGGCTCTGAACTACAACTCATTCATTTTAATTGTGGGAATTATTGGTGTTGATTCTAATGCTAGAGATATGTATGGTAACAGTCATAGTCAAGTTGCATGTGTATTGTTGAAAATAACATCCATGCATAAATTAGTACAATAGTTTTAGAGTCTATATACATTTAGGAATGAGGATATAAATGAGCTTAAAGGTGTACATATTTCCAACTTTGAAGATGATCTTTGTTCAAGCAGTGTTGAATACTGTAGTATATCAAATGTTAATAGTTTATACCAATGTTCTTGTAAACAGTGCTGTGCTATAGCAGTTTATGCAATGAGTTACTCTGTTATTAATCTATGGGGATACTGGACTTCAAAGTTACTGCACGAGAAAACCAAGCACCCCAGCCGCGATAAATGAGGGTGTAATCTGTATAATGTAACATAACGTCGTGGTTTGCAATTGCGCTGGCTGAGATAAGAACTAGACGAATTTGAAGACAAAAAGCGGACTGAGATAGTCTATACAAAACTTAATTTTGATCGTACATGGATCACTGTGCTCAGAATGCGTAATAATATGAGGTCGTAGAAACTGTAGAAACGCCCCTTAGACGCCAAACATTAGGGCAATAGGTGTGACATGAAAAATCCTCAACTGCTTTCGTCTATTATTTTAAGTAATATGACAACTGTTGTAGCATAGTTTGTGCCTAATGTATTTTTATGAATGCATTAATTTCTGTGAAACTTTTACTCCACAATTTTTATCACTCGAGTATTCAAACTGTAAAGTGGCAAAAGGCAAAATTCGACAGAAATTCCAAATTTCATTTAGTCAAATACAGCCGAATAAGTTTACCCCAAGATTTTGTCCAAATAATCAAAAGTTTCCTAAAGCTCGCATCACGAGGCCTACCAGATCTCAATCTAGTAGTGTTTTTAAATTTGTAGAACCTAAATGTCAGACAGCAACTTATCAAAAGTGCTATATCATCAGATGCATACGGGTATGGAAAGTTGTTGCGTATGAACGTCCTGGATGATTTTAAACACGCAATGGTAGAGTATTATAAAACCGCCTTAAGTAATTACGACTGTGAAAATCCCCGCACTTTTAAGTCTGTCTGTCTTAAATGTAATACGTGTCGTAGTCTTTCCCAGCCTGTCTCGTGTTGCTTATGTATTTTACCTATTCTTATATTTTTAAATTTTCTGGGCCAGCAGTAACTGGCACACGCTGTTGCGGAATCCCTGCCACTTTTTCTTTGCTACTTTGTTTGATTACCTGAATGTATTTATATTATGTTGGCGAAGCTAATAAAAAAATTCCGACTCTGATGTAAGGAAAACTGTGCGCTCTCTATGCCTAACATGATACGTGCCGAATAGAGTATGAGAGACAAAATGCTGTAACATGACTATTCATAGCATGATGTAAGGAAATCTGTATGCTCCTTACCCCTAACATTCTGCGTGCCGAATAGAACATGAGAGAAAAAATGCTGGAACTTAACTTTTCCTACCCTGATGTAAAGAAAACTGTACGCTCTTTACCCCTAACATGATGGGTCACGAATAGAGTAAGTAGCGATATAGGGATGAAATTAAGCATCGTTGGTGCCTTTCCCTGCCTTCTGTATGCCTGCATACTAAATTAGTGCCTTAAGGGCTTAAATCAGAGTGCGGGGGTATTTTTCATCAGAGCTTTCTCTGGTTGTTACGCCATGCTAACGAGCCCCAAAAAGGGCGAAACAGCTGTCTATGGCTACAATCTCGCTCTGTTTTGAAGTCTTTCGGTGTCGTGTCGATGTCTTGCAAAGTTAATTTTCACGTAGTACTATCATAATTTCATATCATAATGTCTACTTGTCATTTTTGCTGATCAGGTCTTTATAGATCCTACGCTCTTCGGCATGTTCGTTTGCGGTCCTTACCTGGTTAGGGGTGCCCGTTTCATCCCCTCTCCACCGTTAGGGTTTGTTTCCATAGTTTCCTGCGAGTTGGATCTAAATTATTATTTTCACAGACTAAGTAAAAGTTTTCCCTGGTACAGTTTCGACATGCTGAACCAAACTCTTTAGCGTTGCTCCTATTAAAGCTACCCTACTCTTGTAGTATAAAAAATGCACTTCCGCTCGGTCAACAGTGTTGCTTGCATCAGCCACCTCCAAGCCCTTTCATGGAAATGAGAATAATGTAAGTCTTTAATTAGAACTGGAGCGCGATGATGTTATTATTTCTCCCGCTTTGCGGCTATTAATTTTGCCCGGCTAAGCCGTCTAAGCTAGGGAACAACATAACCATTAGCTTGTTTTTGTGGCGAGAGCAGTACAATCACTCCCACTGGCTTAATGTTGACCTTACGCATCGAGGATCTGAAATTCTCGTTGTATGTTGATGATTTAATCTCGGGATCAACCACAGTGCGCAAGGCCAGGGAATTGAAGGAAAAAGCTGCAATATAGCATATCAAGGCAAAAAGAAGGAAAGGCTTATATCCTGCTATATGCTTGTAGCCTCACAAGTGGGGGTTACTTGGATCTCTTACCAAATTTGGAAACCGACGAGTGCCTGAGAAGCATGGAGATGTTTATCGCTCAGCGAGGAAAACCGCACTTAATCTATTTCGACAACAGCAGAACGTTTGTTGATGCTGCGAAGTGGATCATGGCAGTGATGAAGGACCAGCGACTTCAGAATTACCTGTCATTTAACTAGATCAAGTGGCAGTTTAACCAAGAAAGGATAAACAGGACAGAGAAGGCATCCCCCATACACACCCTATGCCATTGGTAATTGGTCTCAAGTTATTTTTAAGACCACAGATCCCAAGGGGGATTAGACAACAGCCAATCACATGGCGCGAATGTGTTCCGAGTGGATGACCCACGCTCATAGCCACGCGTCCTTCACGAATTGACGCTGAAAAAAAATGGCGGAAGACGCGGAGAGCGATATTGGTATTCTACTAAAGCGGTGTCAGCTAAATGGAAATTAAAAAAGAGTTGCTCTTCCTTCCTCTCTTGTATAGAGCTAACAGTACAGCAAGGAAATCCTTAACACACTGAATATTCGCTCAGGATCATTTATAATTTACAGTTTGAAGAGAGCAATTTCTAGTTTGATATTTATTCTTTTATTCAACCAAAATAACACTTGGCGCCCTACTTGCTTTATTGTACAAACGACCAGTTTCAATAGACTGGCGAAATTTCAAATTTTATTAAAAGCACTGAGGTTACGACAACTTCTAGTTAAACTGATTTCACGGGTTTTCAAAGAGTCCACCGATTCCCTTTTCCCAGGTGAGCGCCGACTCAATTCGCTTCAATATTCAGAAATGCTCGCGATGTCTTTACGCTTTCATTGCCTTTCAGCCGA